GGTGAACAGTCCTCACACACCCAGACCACGTGGTCACCACTGTACACGGTGAACAGTCCTCACACACCCAGACCCCGTGGTCACTCAAGTTACATGGTGAACAGTCCACACCCCCAGACCCCGTGGTCAATGCTGCCTTATGGTCACTCCGGGTACCCAATGAGGAGCTGCACAGGACCTGAGCCGAAGGAAGAGAAGGAAATCAAGACTGCGAGCCACTGCTTCATGCACTGTGACACCAGAAGAACTACGTGGTGCCTGGCTACCCTGACTATGCTCTCTGGGTCAAGATGGATCCTAACAGAAACAGAACTCCAAATTCCTTAAAAAAAAGGAGAGGGAGACTGACAAAACCCCCAGATCTCTTAAACTGGCTGGACAGGAGGGCCCCCTAGCCCCACTGTCCTCAGATACTCTTCAAACCTTGAACTAAAACAACCCCGAGGTTTTTGTACAAAGCTCAATAATAAACTGGCTCAAAAAACAAATATCACCCAAAAAGTACTGTGTGCCTTTTAAAAAATCATCTATTATGAGTCTAAATGGTCACCAATTACTGTAAAACCAAGCTGAGCAGGTAAAGGGCTGAGGACAGACTAATGGGACTGAACAACCAGCACGGAAACGAGGGGCGCCAGGCAGGGGAACGAGCCAATGGCAGGAACAACGGCACTGGGCTGTTGACTGGGAATCTAAACGGCTATGCAAACCTTACTGAAAAGACAATAAAACGGTACTGAGAACAGCAACAAAGACGACGCAGATGGCCCACGTCCTTTCCGGACACAGCCTCCTCCACCAGGAAATTCAATCAGAGGCCACCGTCACCAGAGCGGGACGCAAGGGCCCATGGCCCCACAGGTCTTGTTCCAGCTCCCCTGAGTGTGAGCCTCTGAACGAGACCTGGATGCTCTAGAAGCATCACCTCAGCTCTATGCCCGTCACGCCCCTGGGCAAATGCACAACAGAGGTGCCCTGAAAGCCCCGTGGGGCTTGGAGTCCACTCTCAATACTGCTATCCCTAACCCACCGTTCTGGAAGCCTGCTGGGTGGCAATGGAAGGGTGACTGTGGGAGGTGGAACAGAGTGTGGGAAAGGAGAGACCAGGGCCTCGAGGTCCACCGGGCAGATGGTGGCCTGCTCCTGGCCCACACTCCCTGCCCACCTTCTGATGGGGTACTCTAAGAGAACTCCCCACGCCCGCGACAGGCCCAACCCCATCTCCACAGGCCCACTGACCAGCCAGGAAGCAGACAGCTTGTGCCGAGAGCGATGTGACTGGACGAGGCCGAGCCACTTACTCCTCTCTGTGGGAAGCAGAACACCGGGGAGACAAATCTTCAACACCATGCCTTACAGCCGCTCAGGATGATTTACAAAGTAGCACGCAGAATAGAAATTTTAGGTGCCCTAGACTTCTCCACCCCTACCGAGAAAGCCTTACTTCTGTTTGTGTTACATTCTAAAACATGGCACACTCACTCCTGAAGAAACTTCAAAACCAATGCATAATTCAACAGCATGTCACAACCAGGGGTTACAGAGAAAGAGACCAAAGTCACTTCCCCTGTTCTGACACACGGGCCTAGCAGCCCAAACAGCCTCTCTCCTTTAGACTTTGTGAGGCAGAGCTCAGCACCTCTCTCTCTCTCTCTCTCTCAGCACCTCTCTCTCTCTCTCTCCTTCTCTCTCTGGCAGGGCTCAGCACCTCTCTGCCATTGTGCTCAGGGCTTCGCACACCTTTCACACCCACATGCCTTCCCCATATACCCATCCATGGTGAGGACACACACACTGCAGGGACAGCTGGGCCTCTGGACAGACTCTGCAGGGTGACTTGGTAAACCTGACCCTGCTCTCAGTCTAGCCACCTCTGCTACAGAAAGCGACCAGCCTCAGAGGTAAGACAGTGTGGGAACTAGAGAAAATGCTCATCAAAGGGCCGGGAAGACTGGCTTTTAAATAGACAAGGAAACAGAGTTTATTTTATTTGGGAGAAGAGTTGCTCTTTTAAAAACAGAAACACCCCCGGCCTGTCTCAGAGCCACCCAGCGGTTTATGCACACGGTCCCTGACTGCTGCCGGGTTCCTAAGGGGGCTCCATATACATTCTAGGAGAGAAACCAAGAACCGCAAAGCACACACATCCTTGTGGCAGGCACCCTGTGAGCAAAGCCTTGCAGCAGCCGCGACTCTCCTTCCTAAAGGTGAGGAACAGACACACGTGTTCATTAACAGGGAGCACTGTGGGGAGGTGGGGGGACCAAAACCACAACCAAAACAGGGGGCACTGGATTTTCATCCTTCCCAGAACAGTTCTCCAGGAGCGAGTTACTGTGTCACAAAAGCCATCTGACTTAAGAGAAGCTGTTCAAGTGATTTCCTTAAAAAACAAAACGACGACAAGACACCCCTGGGAAGACTCAGAAGGGACGAAGTACTCTGCCAGAAAGAACGCCTCAATCCCTTTAGGCGGAGCTGCCAGAGTGTGGCTGTGAACCACCCCTCGTCACGGCACCCTGAAGCTGAGATGCTCGCCCTGGCAAGGATGCCCTCACAAGGGTGCCACCCAAGGGTGGTCAAGTCGGTCTTACTGGCAGAGGGCAGCTTATGGATTCTGGATACGTGATAACAGTTCCCCGAACCCTCCGCTCCAAAGGCTGTGCTATTACCTTGTGAAGCTGCTTCAAGCCGTCTTCGGTTTTGATACAGGACTGTTCAACGTTATAGTCGATTCTATCAAGGACCGTACCCTGAGCAAGAAATGACAGTTACAGGCCATCAACAAGCCCAGCCAGGAAAACTGTGCTTCAACCATGAGATATGCAGACGGCAGATGCTATCGTCCCAGGACTACGCGTCTGACTGGGCTGTGTGGAGGTGCACACAGAGCTCGCTGGAACCATCACCAGCAGTATCAGCACTCACGGGGTAGTGCCATGCGAGGTGCAATAAAGCTGAACTTATAAGAAAGAAGAACTGAGAAGCCGAGGCTTCTTCTCCGGATTTAGCCACTGCAGGCGATGCCACACTCAGCCACCCTGGAGTGCTGGGCGACACATGGGTCAGGGCAGCCAGGCTCAGCGTGGCAAAGGGCTTGTTTCTTGCTTACTCTTCCTAAGCACCTAGAGAACCCTGCACTCAAACCAAGACCCAGCTGTCACGATCGCCTGGGAGCCTGACCAGGGGCGTCCAGAACAAAATAAAAAGTGTGCCTCCAAGAGGAATCACTTGAGAGAACTGACCTCCTGGCTCCCACAGCAAGAGCGGGGCTGACGAGAGACACACGGTCCGTGAAGACAGCCGCTTGCCGAGAACCCCAGGTGGAACCAGCATAACCAGATCTTTCAGAGCCTCAATTTGCTTTTCACAGCTGCTTTGGGGGGTCAGGACCCCATCCCTGCCGGCGATGTAATAAAACACCCTAATCGCATTCTAACGGTGAACCAACAATTTAATTCTACTTGAAAGCTAGTGATTTCTGTAGTCACTACACAATAACCTGCTCAAATTAGAAGGGAACCTTTTATTATTTGTTGGAGTATGGTTGAGCTGGGATCAACTAGGTCTCCAAAGCAGGGAGGCTCAGGTGAGCACCCCAAGCTCAGGCAGAGCCCACGCTTCTGCGCACACAGAGTTCCAGTCAGCAGAGCAGCACCTGGGGGGCGTGCACTCACGTCACCCGGCACACACCTGCTCCACGATCATGGCGCCCAGCTCCCTGAAGATCTCGTTGAGGTCCGAGATGGACTGCACGATCTGGCGGATCTCACGTTCCCGCTCCTCCACCAGCAGCGTGTTCTGCTCCACCAGCACCAACTGGTCGTCGGTGAAGCCCTGCCAGCACATGGGGCGGGGCACGGGTTAGGCTCCCTGAGAAGTCATGGTACTTTACATTTAACTCCAAAATGCGCTCTGAAAAGCCTTCTAAAGGAACATCTGCCATGGATAAGCACGCTTGTGTTCCTAGTTCCTCAAACAAGCACGACGGACAGCACTGTAAGGGCTCAACCCAAGGTGGGCCAGGGCGGGAACCCCACTTGCGCCGCCGACCAGCAAAACTACCAAGGGCAACCTTCACTTTCTCTGAGCTCTTACTTTCCGGAAGGTTCTGGAAGACAGGGTATGATGTCTCCCAGAAGCCTCAGGAAGGAAGACCCACGCACCTATGGCGACTCTCCTGCTCTAAGTCCACCTGGCAGGCACACAGGTCAGCGGTGCAGGCCACGTGTCTTACAGCCCAGTCAGAAGCCCAAGGTGAGGTGGGGAGAGAGAGACAGGTGTGCAAACAGGGACGTGCAGCCACCAGCTCCGCAGCCCGTCACCTACCCGGTCATAAAGGGTAGTATCATCTCCATCATCCATTAGAGGTCCTGACGTGTCAAAAAAATGCTGGGATCTCTCCTCTCGATTCTTCATGCCTGTCAGATAGGAATTCACTTTACTCCAACATGTAAACCAGCCTGGTTACTGTCCCACCAGTCAGAACGGGGCATGTGAGAGTAAAACCTTAGAGTCAAAGTGAAGACATCATGACAGAGGGCAGCCCCTACAGTGGGAATGCTCACTGCACTCTGGAGCATGAGACCAAGCAATGTTTAATCCAACTGCTGCTACAAAACATTTTGCTTCTTTAAAAAAATTAGTGTTACTCTCTAGAAAACATCTAATATCAATTCCAAATGGCCCTAATTAAATTTTAGGAGGAATAAAATGAAAATACAAATACACCAGTTTTCGTGTGGGGAAAAGCTGGTGTGGAGTATGGGTGACCACGGAGGTGATGAGCTCATGGCTGGCACAGGGTTGGGGCTAAGGAGACGCCTGAGTCCTCAGCACCACACAGCCAGGGCTTCGAGGTGCCCAGGAAGCCTGGGTTCTTAGGAAACACCTGACTTCCACCTTCGATCAGGGGTCCCACGCCCTCAACATACACAAAGCCGCAGTCTTCCCCACTGTGCTGGCCTGATTTGCATATCTGCCACCAGCAACCCACAGCGGGCTGTTCTCCTGGTATCGCTGGACATTTCGAGTCGGAACTGACCCGACTGTCCTGAACCATGGCACCTCCTGGCTGCGGGCCCTCCACTTGGAGCTGGGCCTGGGGACACTCACGTTTGAGGTAGCCAGACTGTGCGTGCCGGAAGCTGGTGGACAGCTCCTGCAGCGTCTGCGCCAGCGAGGCCACCACATTGCGGAGGAGCCGCGCCTCCTGTTCCGAGCAGGTCCTGCGTGCCCGGCTGGGCAGGGCCTGCACTGCACGCTGGCATCTGTGGAAGAGCTGAGAGGACAGGTGACTCACCCAGAGCTGGGGGCTTGCTGCCCACCGGCCACTACCCTCAGCCACAGACCAGAGTCCAGAGTCTGCTCCCTCGGGGTGGAGGAGGACACCGGAGAGACCCTGCACACATGGGCAGACACCACTCACAGTAGAGCCAAGCACTGCCCACATACCAGTGCCCACCACCACCTGGGCACCACATGCGGCATCATGGCAATCGCCCTGCTGTGGCCTTGGCCAGAGCTCGGAGAGGGTGTGGAATGAGGTGAGTCCCACACATTTCTTGGTTTGTGAGCGCACCTAACAGTGGCTCTACTGACATCTACTATAGCATGAAACAGCACAATACTAGTGTGAAATATGGGGAGTCCCTATGTGCAGCTGGACCATGACCGAGGCCCACGAGACTGGGGGTCAGAAAAGCAGTGAGGGGTCACAATCTCTCTCATTCTCCTTTTCTACTGACAGCACACTGTAAGGTTTTGGTTCACGCCTGTCTTTCCAGGGGTCCTTTGCCCTTCCCCCTCATCTTTTTAGCTTTAACTCCTTTGCGGGTCCTACCCTTCACTGGCTAGGACTCTGTCTTATTGCCTTAATAAACTTTTTTCACTTGTTTTGCTATAAAAAACAAAAAAAGGTAAAATATGTGAGATGACAAAATGTGACACAGGGACAGGAAGTGAGCACGTGCTGCTGGAGAAGGTGTCAATGGACTTCCATCTGTGACAGACACACGCGGCGCAGTGACGCAGCACGCGGTGACGCGAGGCGAGGTGTGCCTGCAGTCCCTGGCCGGTCCTGAGAGCCAAAGGCTCGAGAGAAGCACCAGGTCCTTACACAGAAAGGGCCTCTCTCCCCCAACGCACGGCGGCACTGGGAAGCCTGCACCCTTCCAACACTGAACAGCTAAGCCCTGCTTACGTTTCCCCAGATCAGCCACACGCAACATTTTATAAGAAATGTGTACAGTAAATGTTTTCCCAATAGGGCGAGACAGTGCAATGATTAAGCACTTGGCTATGAACTGAAAGGTCGGCAGTTCAAACCCACCAGCCACTTTCAGGAGAGACATGATAGTCTGCTTCTGTTAGGACCCCAACCTCGAAAACCCGATGGGCCAGCTCAACTCTGACCTAGAGGATACAAAGGAGCTGTAATCAACTCAACAGCAACTTTGCAGCTCTGCCTGACATACTTTGGACATGCTGCAAAGAGGGACAAGTCCTTGGAGAGAAACGTCATGCTGGGATGGGTGGAGGGACAGCGCAGAAGAGGAAGACCCTCGATGAGATGGACTGACTCAGTGACTAGGGTAATGGGGGTAGGTGCGTCAGAGACAATAAAATTAAGTAAAGATAGATGGATCAGGGTTCAGAGCTGTTGTACACAGGGCTGCTGTGAGTCGGAGTCAACTTGGCTCATAAGAACAACAACAGGGCACTAATACACTTACTAATCTTTCTAGGGCAACAGTTCACAATCTTGTCAATGATGCAGGCCAGATTTCAACAGAGAAAAAATAAAAAATAGGGTCACTGTAAGTCACAGGTGACTGGACGGCACCTAACAACAACAACAGAAGGATGAGGACCATTAAACTGCGGTACTGGAGACAAGTGATGGAGGCATGGATGTCTTGGAGACAAGGGTGTTCCTTGAAGGCAAAGACAGAAAGACATACAGGGACGTTGTTAAGAGGTGACAGTCCTTGGAGAAGGACATGGTGCTTGGAAAGGCAGAGAGTCACCAAAAGACAAGACTCCGCTCGACAAGACGGACTGGACATGGTGACTCTACAGACGGGCTCAAGTCTATCACAAGAGGCGAGGACGGTGCAGGAGAGGGCAGAGCCCAGCCACGGATCTCACAGGGTGGCTGTGAGACAGCCCCTCGCAACAACAGTATGGTAAACAACGTTTCACTGCTATTCCTAAGGTTTTATCAAGAAGCAAGCATTTGAACAGAACAACGACAGAGTGCATACTTAAATCCTCACAACAGAACCAATAAAGACATCACGGCAAACAAAGAAAGGCCAGAAGAGGTTGTCAGTGATTTTATGTCACTTGGAGCCGTCACCAACAGCATGGGAGCAGTGGTCAGGAACGCAAAAGACACGTCACACTGGACCTCAGTGCAAGGCTGTCCATTTTAAGACTAAGGTGCAAATAACCCACGCCATGGTATTTTTAATTGCTTCAGATGCATGCCAGAGTTGGACAATGACTAAGGAAGATGAAGGAACTGATCCTCTGAACTGGTGCTGGAGAAGAGCATGGACTATTCCAGCAGAAGGGACAAATCTGTGTAGAGAAAAGTGAAGCTGCTAAGAAGCAAAGGTGGTGAGGCTTCACCTCATCAACTCTTGGACATGCTGTCAGGAGGGGCCAGGCGCTGGGGGAAGATGTCCTGCTCAGAGAAGTCCATGAGGAAGAGGAAGGCCTTCAATGAGGTGGTCAGTGACTGGAACAAGGGGCTTATCACAATAAGAGATTGCGAGGCAGCCTACAAGCAGGTGGGATTTCTTTGTTTTTCAACGGGATGGTAGAAGCTGTGCAGTCTTAGCTGCGTGGTGCTCTGAAGTTGTGTTTGATCAAGTTGCAGCAGAGGACCAAGCACACACGCCACGGAGAGCAGCCCTCCCTGCCCTCGGACATGAAGCCTCTGCCAGGCAGGCTGGAATCTAATGAAAGCGGGGACACTGACCTCCAATCTGAGGCAGAGCGGTACTGTGACCTCTAGTCGTCAGCCCTTGGCACCTGGGCTGAGAGGCCACGCCCATCTTACCTGAGTGATCTCCTGCGTGGTGATCTCAATGGCACGCTCCTCCTCGCTGCTGTCATCCAGCGTGGGTCGGTTTAAGTGCTTGTCATGAAGGCTGGCTAATTCTTTCATCTTCTGTTTAATTCGGCCCACGTCGTAGTGTATCTAAACCCACGAGAGTCTCCAATGAAGTCTGGCAGGTACCTGTCCGCCCAGAACCACCCAGCCACACTGGAGACCTGGCAGCCTGCTCCTGGGCCAGCCACTTCTCACGCCTGCTGTTTCCCAGTCCCATCCGTCTGTCTGTGATTCAGGTTGTTCAACAAGTGTAACTGATGCAGAACTCATCCACACAAACAAATCTCTCTCACACACACACACACACTCCCCCCCACCCCCACATCCCTTTCCCTAGAGGTGTGTGAGCTCAACCTATAGCTGCTGTACTTCCAGAGACAGATGTTTACGTTTAGCCCAACTCGGGGTTCTGGCGGACCTCAACAGATGATCTCATATCACCATAACTCAAATAATAAGACAATGTGAAACTAACATTCAACTTACTTCGTCCACTCCATCCACCCATCTCGGGGGTAACCGTTTTGTCACGCCAATGGCTGCTTCTGGATCTAAGCTAAGGCTTGAGACCAAAGCCATGCGGTCATCAGCAAGCTACAGGGGAAACATCAAACAAGGTGACTGAGACCCAGCACGGAGCAGTCGACCCTCACCCCCTTAGATGTTGCTTCTCAGCGGGACAGGGGGAGGCGGGGTGAGCCGAGTGCTGGGGCAACGTTCACTCCAGACACCGCTGCTGTTGGGAATGTCTGCCTAAGCTCTTCCCGCACACGGACTCTGGACTTCCTTCAACATACTCGATCTGGCTACAGAAATGGAATCAAAGAGTCGCCAGAACCTTTAGAATGAAGATGCCTGCCTGCAGCGCGCCTGCGTCTGGAGTGACCCTGTCCCTTCCTACAGAGCTCCCCAGAGCCGTGCTGAAACGGGCTCAGGCCTCCCTCTACACCGTCTAGGGAGCAAGGTTAGAGGAGTTTCAGACCACTCCCTCCGATGCCATCAGACCCCAGCGGAAAGCAAGGCTGGGCCGTGAATGTCGCTAATTCCACGTCTCCCACGGTATCAAGGTTTACTTAAACACACTTCGCTTCCTGAGCCCGTTCTCTCAGGCACAAGACCATTAACCATCTGTTAAAACGTGTGAAGAAACTGCCTACAATGGAGAGCAAATTATCCACCATTTGGCAAAAAGCAATCCTCAAAATTTCAATGCAATCTGACACTATCATTTCTTCTCTGTTAAATGCCACAGGCAACATTTTCAGTTATTCTGAAATGACACTCAGAGCTCTTGTTTATTTTAACTGGATAACCCACTGCCTCCCAAAGTCCTTCCCAAAGGGAGGGAACCTCAGCTATGGTAGCCTCTCTCACCCGGAGCCCCAGGCCAGCTGCCGGCACCCGAGGAGCCAGGAGCCAACGCTGTCTTCTGAAGATGCAGATAAAAGATTAGAGCCTTGTGGCAAGTGGCTAGAAAAGCCCTTTCTGGGATGGGTTGGGCTCTAAACTGCATCGCAGAGCGGCATGGGGGTGCGGCACCCCTTTACTCCCCTGCTGTCATCTGCATTAATTTCTTCATCCGTTCAGAGGATACTCGTTAACTTTTCTAATAAAAGAGCCGACGAAATGAAAAAAAAAAATCCACATCTGGGGGCAAAAAGGTCCCCACAGAAAACCTCTATCAAACGAATTCCTCAAGAATGAGCCCTAAGCCTTAAGCACAGATGTCACAGTAAAATTCCTAGAAGATACTGTCATTACCTCACTGTCCACTGCTAGGGCCCTGCCTGCCTCATCCCTGTTTCTGGCACTGGGGGGTCGGACTCTGGGAGCGAAGCCCAAGGAACTTCTCCCAAGCCAGGACTCCAGAGGGCCAGCATCCCTGGCCACGCCTGGCACATACACAGGTGATGGTCTGCCAGCTGCCCGGGCCCCCATCAGCTACGAGCTGGCAGTGGTGTCCCCTCCACCAGAGCCACCTGCTGTGGACATGTGTCTGAAAGGTACTGACTGAAGAGGAATTTCAGACCTGTTTTCCTACTTCAACCCGACAAACGCTGGGTGTGTTGAAGCAGAAGGGAGAGAATGGGAAGTCAGAAAGTGAAGTGACGTGACCAAGGTCACAAAGCTATGATGTGACTCGTTTAAACTGGGGCCAGCTAGCTCTGGCAGCCTTGTGCACAGCTGCCAATCATGCTGGCAGGCCCGTGAGATAGAACTGCAATTTGCTAAGGAAAGGGGTAAAGGACAATAGGCCATCAGGGCAGAAGAAAACCAGAGGCCCTGCACGCATGGCCCTCTCTTGCCCAGGGCAGCGAGGAAGAGGGCAGGGTCTGGGCGAAAGCGGCTCAGCTCCCACATGGCCGCAGTGAGGGGTCTGCTCCTGACGCTGGGCACAGCTGTCTGTGCCTGGAGGGTCTGCTCCCACGTCACCATAAGCACGTTGCCCTGTGGAGACACTGACCAGGGCACCAGGTACTGCCTGCACTGGTCCCAGCACACTGACAGCTCTTCCCACGTCAGAGATGCACCTGTTTATGCAAAGGAAAATGTGACCGCCCTAAGGTACCTCTTCATGGACCACAGAATTTCCACTATGCCAGTCTATTATCAAACACGTCACATCTAAGGACATTAGACTTTAATAGAGTCATAATAATAATAATTTGTTTATCTTCAGGGACTTTATACTTTTTCCACTCCTGCTCTTATCTTGAGCTCCCTTTACCATTTGAAAATACTCATTCAACTGAAAAACACGCAGAGAGAGGGGCTGCCCCTCGATGTTCCAAGATCATCAGCTGTGGATGCACCTGGAAACCGGCAGGCCTGCTCATGGACGAGGGCACGGCGGTCAGAAGCAGCACTTTCTTACACATCACGTGTGCTCCCCAAACCGAAAGTGAAAAACAAAACAGGGGAGAACACATTCCTTTAAGTAAACAATAACAAAAAACCACTCAAATGCACTGCCATCGGATCTAGGCTGACTCAGGGCAGCCCTGAAGCCGCAGAACTTTAGAGGAGCAGAATGTCCCTCTTTCTTTTGCAGAGGGCCTGCTGGACTTGAACCACTGACCTTTCTGTCAGCAGCTCAACGTGTAACCCACTTAGTCCACCACCAGGGCTCCTTAAGTGAACCATGAAAGCTTGCTAATTAAGGGACCATTAAAAATCCAAACACAAACCTTTGCTGACTGACAGGGCTCCTCCTCCGGGGTGCAAACCCTTATCGGAGGAGAAAGCCCACCCTTCTCCAGTAGAGCTGCTGGTGGCTTTGACTCGCTGACACCACCAGGCTCCTTACAGAGATTCACAAGGCAACAAGAGTGTGATGCCCTGCAGGTTAACTTGGTTGCTAACGGGACAGGGTAAGGTTCGCATCTGTTGTCCAGAGGGTTGCTGTGAGTCACGTGTGACTCGATGGCACTGAACAACAAAGACCAGCACCAGGGTGGTGGCCTAAACCCACCACAGGAGAGAGAGGAAGCTTTATAGCCTTGGAAACGGACAGGCATGTGAGGTGGACAGCTGACCCTTTCGCAAGTGCTAACTTGAAATGGAGGATGACGCAACCCCTTTCTGATGCACTGGGCAGCAACTGCTCGGCAGGATAAAGGACTCGGTCCTGCTCTTCTCAGAATAAGCCCGTGCTTTCCTGCAAGGGTTTGTAATGTGTATCACAGCATGTTTTGGTTTGGGATTTTTTAAAAAAGAACATTATGTTTGGGAAGAGAAAACAACTGAAGATAAGTGTCAACTCTATGAAATGGAAACAAATGTGAACATAATACATTTTAAGTGCAAAACAGTCAATTTCAAATTTCGAAGCCTTACTTTCCGTTTGAAAACATGTTTTCTGGTTTTTCAAAGACCCAGAGTCTATCTGTTTTGTTTTCAAGGTGCCTGGTCAGTGCTGTGATGTCTGGGTGCTACGGGTGACCAGCAGTAACTCCACAGGACAAGGAGGGCTGCCCCCTGATTTCCAAGGCTGCCAGCCACGTGCTCAGCTCTTTGTCCCCCCCTACCCTATGCAGATCTCAAAGCACCTCATTTCTTGTTTGTCCTCTGCATTCCTGCAGGATCTCGACTCTGTCCCTCTTCAAACACACGTGCACCAAGATGTGAACATGCCCAACGAAACCTGCTCCGTCCTATCTTTGTAGACCCAGTGCCCAGCGCTGCCGGCTACACTCTTCACACACGTCAGTCCCCCAGTCACTTCTGCTCTCCTCGGTCCAACATTCCCACTGACTCACGTTTCCCGGCTGCCCAACCTGCGCATCCACGCCTTCGAAGGCACACAAACCCACTGCTATGCTGTCAATTTTGAATCCCCACAACCCTCTGTTGGTCTTCAGAGGCTGTAAATCCCCATGGAAGGTGACCACCCACTTTTCTGCCACAGAGCAACCTGTGAATTTGAAATGGCCCAGGCCTTTCTCTTTTGGTTTAAGCAGACATGGAAATGTGTGTTTGTTTACACATGGATGATTGCTTGCCTTTTTTTGACAATCTTTCTCTTTGATGGGTGAAAAAGAACTCGCCTCTTGGGGTGACTTCAGGGAACGATTTCCCTTAGTCATTAACGGCTTTCTACAATGAACTTGTACTTAAGTTAAAAAAAAATATTTTAAATTAACAAAACAAACCCCTCTCCTAAAACTACAAGGGAGATTAAGGATTTAGTCCTTACGGCCTCTGATTTGCAGCTCTGGTCCCCAGAGCCTCGGGGTACACCCACCCTAGCCCACAGGGGCTGGCTGTCCCTCACGACTGTGAGAATCATGGGAGCCCCAGCCAGCATCCACACAGCTCTTCTGCTGCAAGCATCGGCCTAATCTTCTGCCCTGGACCCACTTCAGATCCTGACATCTGCTCCTTTCAAGAGTACCAGGCGGGATGAACAAACCCTTGATCTATGGAAGGTATGCACACACATACAGAGGCCATAAATCTCGCTGCTCCGCCTGGAAGGCTGACCTTAGGAGAGGCCGATATCAACTTCAATGCTGGACGAGCAAAGGGATGCACAGCTGGGCAGAGGCTGGAGAAGCCAGACCCTTCCTACTCCTCAATAAAGCAGCAGGCACAGTTCAGCCATGTCACTCCAGCAGCAAGAAACAATGTGGACAATGCAGGGTGTCTGCAGTGCGAGCAAGCTGACCACGGGACAAGGCCCTGAGTGGGACGGCTGGGAGATTCCCTGACAGCCGAGGGGAAGAGATGACCACGGAACTGGGGGGGATGGGGGGAGCAGAGAGAAAGAAAGTCAGGGGATGCCAACACTGCACTTATTAAATAAAAACCTGTATTTGTGTAAGTAATTTTGTTTTTCCTTGGTATGAAATTAATCATTGTTCATAACTGAGAAATTAAGAAACTGATAATCACATCACTTATGTATTTCTAGTTTTGTAATAATAAGAGGCCGAGAGCAGTGAGCAGGAGGTACCTGTCCTTACACGGCTGGTCCCTCAGTGTTTAACCCCATCAACTCTATGCTCCCCACAGCACAGTGAGAGCCGCAGGTTGGGGGTGGCCCCAGTCCCAGCACTCCCAGCCAGGCCCACAGCCTCCGGGTCACCACGTAG